CAGGAGAACTCTGTACTAAGTTTTCTCCTCTGTGCTAATTTGGCAACTTCAAGAGAGTCTAAGCATTTTGAAATAAAAGGATTTTACATACATATACACACACATATAGCAGTCAACAGGCTGTTTGATTCACTTTATAAGAATCTGTTCCAAGACACGGTTGGGGTGAATACCATCTCCCTAAGTGAACTTGGGAGCTGCATTATGACTAACCACAGTTCTCCACATCTTATCCCAAACATGCTCTGACTTGACTTCTGGGGCCCCGCCCGGCCTTACATTTCCAGATCTGGGGTCGGTCACTTCTTTGTAGAGGCTGATGTCCAGGTAGTAGCCGGACTCGTTGGTGATGAACAGGCGGATGGGCACAGCGCTGTCCAAAGTGGTCTGGCGGATGTTGATTTTGACTTCAGCCTGGAGCACGCGGAGCCTCCACAAGCGGCTGCCGTAGCGCATCACCATGGAGCGCACCGCCTCTTCGATCTGCCCCAAACCACAGCGGTTTCATTTCAGAACCTGCCTCGTGCACGCTGGTGACAGTTCTAGCTCTGATTATAGCACGATGATGGGATATACCGAATGCAAAACGCACAGCACGTATGTAGCAGGACAACACGCAGCATGTATCCATATTAGCTAATAACCATCAAAGGCATCATGTTAAGCATTTAAGCTCATTCTCTCACTCTGTCCCCATGATTACTCAGAGAGGCCGACACTTCTGTCCCCCACTTGACAGATGAGGATACTGAGGCTGGTGAGAGCTAGTGCTTCTACGTTACACCAGCTTTATCTCCATCATGCATCCCATGCCTATGCATTTTCTCTTCTGGGAACCAAGTGGACGGGTGGAGTCGGGGCTCAGAGTGGGCCCCGTGCACCCAAATATGCCAAGCTGATGCACCAGGACTTCTTCCATCCCAGAATCACCTCCATAAACTCTGCCCCTCATGGAGAACCAGCCCGTGGGGAATGGCTCAGCCACAGACCTCAGGTGCTCCCGTCCCCTCCCCTACACACGTGCAGCCCCCCAACAGAGCCTGGAATATCAGAACAGTGACAGTCCTAAGGGTAGGGCCCTGGCTGAAATATGGCTCTAGAATTAATCGACAGGTCTCTTCTCCACCTGCAGCAGCTGAGGCTCAGTCATGCACGTACGCGTCCTGGAACCCCGGTCTCCAGCCCCGGAAGACAGTACCCCGAAGCAGGAAGGTCCCGGTGATGGTGAACCCAGGGCCTGGGGAGAGCCCCACCCCCAGAGGCGAGACCTTAGAGGGGTCCATGATGACGGTGGGCACGAAGTTGAGGAAGATGTGGTTGCAGTCGGTGCGCACGCTGGTGTTGTTGAACGCCACCTCCAGCTCGTCCATGGCCTCCAGGAGCAGCCGCTCCCCCTCGTTCTGCAGGTACTCGAAGGAGGCTTCCTGCCCAAGGAGGGAGGGGCAGCTGCTAAGGCCAGGGCCGCGGGGCCCCACCCGGCCTCAGACAGGGAGCGGGAGAGGGACATATTCCCCTCCTCCAAAAGAGCCCTGCTTCCAGAGGTGAAGGGATATCAAAGGCTGTCGCGTGTATTCAGCACATCTTTTATTTTCTGTATTCTGATGCTTTGACAGCTGGGGCCTTGCTGACCCTGGAGGGGCTGCCCCTCTGACGGTTCCTCAATTCCCAGAGACAGTAAATAACTCATCCATGAGCATGCTTTTCATGCAAACCAGCCAATCCAGAGCCCACACCCCAGCTACCTCCTTTGTCAGGCTCTCAGAAGAACCACTACCCACCTGCCCTAATCACTCCAGCGCCAGGTGCCAGACAACAGGGACAGCCCCTCTACTCAGAGCCTGCTGAAATCACTCAAGATTGCCAATCTCAAACCTGCTCTCTCTGCCTCACCTATTCCTGCAGGGCCTGCAGACTCCACAGTAAAGGCTCCTGTCCACGTATCCCCCTCACTCAGCCTCCTGACCAGCTCTGGTGTTCCCCCTGTGGCCCCTGTGGCACAGCGTGTCCCCTCCTCTTGGGATCTGTGAGTGACAAACAAACCACCTTTCCAGCGGCAACTGTCTCCTGACCTGTTGGCCTTATTGTACTTGAATGATCACAAACGCTATTAAAATACCTAGGTAACTGGGGCAGCAAAACATTGTGATTAGCTTAACATCCATCACTAGGAGATTTCTTAAAAACATTACACGCACATGATACATCCATGCAAGGGACCTGCATGAAGGAAATCATCTTCATTAACATGGACAAGGGTCTACAGGTTAAAAAAAACCCAAGCCCTTAAATGATTTGTCCATCCTGAGCTCCCATCTGTAACATTACACCTACAACCCTATGTATGGAATTAGGTCTCAAAAGGGCCACCAACAGGGCTGACCCCTGAGTGGCAGGATTCTGGGTCCTTCCCCTGGATTTTTTGAAAGTCTTCTCAATATTGTCTACAATCTTCACAAGGATTACTTTTCTAATGCAAGAAACAATGGAAAATGATCATGCACTCAAACAGGGGAAAAAAAATCCCCTTAACAAACCAGGGTCTTTCTTTTCTATCCTCCCAATTCTCTTCCCACACAGAGATCTTGGTGACAGAAGCAGGAATTCACACGACACCCCACGAAAAGAGGCCATTTCAGTGTCCACCTCCGGCCACCCCAGACTGGAGCAGCAGTCACGAGGGCAGGGCTGAGCATGCCCCGTGCACCCCGCGATCCCCGGCGCACAGCCCAGGGCCTGACCCAGGGCAGGAGCTCAGTGGAGGGAAGGCCAGCATGTGAGCGACAAGTTCAGGAGGTGCAAGGAACACGCCGCGACGTCCTACCTTGGTGATCAGGTCGGAGTGCCTGATGATGACGCGGATGAAGAACCTGTGGTCGGTCACCTCCACGCCCTCCTTCACTCTGGCGGCGCCCAGGTAGAGGTGCATCTTGTGGTTGGCGCAGGGCATGGCGGTCACGTCGAAGTTCCGCAACCGGCTGAGCTCCAGCTGGAAGGCCAGGGCCGGCTCCAAGTGACGGTAGATGCGGTCTTCCGCAAACTGCAGGCCGACCGGAGAGAGAAACCAGACGGACACACAGGCACACGCGGAGCTGGGTGCTGGGCTGGGTGCCTGCTTGATCCATGCCCCACTCTCCTGCACCCCCTGGTGTTTTAGCAGGTTTAGTGCTCAGGAATGAAGCATTCATGGTGTCCTCTAATTGTGAGCTCAAGAGATCTGGGATTTCGCAAAGGTCTGGAGGAGAGCCAGGAGTGTGGAATTGTGCTGGCATGACCTTCTTGGCCCTGGGGCAGCCTAACTAGTTCCCAGCATCTGCTGGCACCACCTGGCTGTTTTCTGTCTGTCACAGCACAGAATATTTCCCAAGAAGTCACTAACCCCTGATTTCCTTGTAGACACTGGTCCCCAAAAGGAAGAGAATGATGGAGCTGGAGACTGAACTGAAGAGAAAATGAAGAAACTAGAGAAAGGATGAGTCTTAACTAGGAAAGTCAGACTTTGGATAAATTAAAATACAGGGTTTGGTGGCCTCCTGGATCTGTGCTGGCAACAAGCCCACGTGTTCTAGAACAGGGATGGGCAAACTTTTTCTTAAAAGGGCAGAGGATTGATGGATTATACTGTCAGTCACAACCAGTCGGCCCTCCACCATGCGGTCTGTAGATTCCGCATCCGCGGATTCAGCCAACCTCGGAGATTCCGTCGGTGGTTGGCTGAATCCGCGAATGTGGAGTCCGCAGATACGGAGGGCTGATGTACCCAATTCGGCTGCTGAAGCAAAAAAGCCACAGGAGACAGTCAGTGATTAATGGGCATGGCCTCTGTTCTCATTAAACTCTGGTTATAAAAACAGGGGGCCTGCCTGCAAGCCATGGTTTGCCAACCATTGTTCTAGAAGAACATAAGAAAAAGAGGTTGGGAGAACCATCTCACTGAGTTACACCAGCAAGTACAAAAGGCATCCGGGTGAGAAGAAACCTGGAGCGGAAAACACAAGGTTTGAGCTCCACATAGAAACCCAGGGCTCTCACTGGAAATACCATCCC